GCAGGTATTTATAGCACGCCTTGTTATTATTGTCCTAATCGAGAAGGTTTAAAAGATCGTATTTCGTTCGTTGTAGCAATTGATTTGAAAAGTGGTGAAAAAAGTCCGGAGCACTGGGCGAAAAGAGGTACAGCGGTTTTAATGAGTCTGGATTCATGAACAATTTTAAAAACACGTAACAGTAACAGTAAACACGTTTATTCACATAAAGATGTTATTTCTTGTAATAAATCAGTTACACTATGATAAGCTGTTTGTTTTTTTCAATTCAGTTTTTTATAGTAATTTTTATAATGCTGGTAGTTTAAATGGTGTTGAATATTTGGTGCATTCTTCGGATAATAAAATATGTAAATGTCAATAAACTGATCTGTCTAAATTTGTAGGTACAATATTAAAACTTCTTGTAGTGAACTGTTTTGAAACTTTTAACAAAAAAAGAGTAGAACGTGAAAGGAAATAATTGCAATGAAGTAACTGTAATTGTTGAGGCAGAGTATCAAGGGTAGCCCGGAAATTAGATAGTTAAAATGGTTGAGGGCATATTGGAAAGAAATGTAACTTGGAATGGAAGTATATGGAGTTTGGAGATCGAAGACTGAATATCAATTGCTGTCACACATCTCACTGAAAAGACATCCCATTTAGAAACAACACATAAAGACTTGGATCTCTTTCATTAATCAGAGCTTTTCGATGCATAACGTCTTTTTCAACGGGAAATTTTTTCTTTTAAACAGCAATATTTGACTCAATGTGGCAAGTCTAGCTCTCCTGAAAGGCGATCAAATATGTTAGATTTTCAAGTTTCTCAACTTATTTTATTCAAATCATTTGACTTTACAAGTCATGATTTTTCGAAATAAAGCCGATGGTGTTTAATTTTGAAGTTGCAGTTTTTTTTCATAACTTATAACATGCATTTATTAATTTATTGAGATATTAAATTTTTTGTATTTATAAAATTTAATGTACGCGTCAAGAATGACCTTTTCTAGTTTGAAGGCGTGAAAAAAATTTGAGGGCAGCTGTTGTCTACCGTACTAGGATTCACCGAAGTTGCAACAATCTTTGACCTGAAAGTTTGTTTCGCGTGAATGTACGATTACCATTGACACTGGACCAAAAAGTCAATTTTGAAACCTAATTTGGTACCTAATCTGAAAAACCACGGCTTCAAAAAATACATTTTTTGAACAGTCATTAAAACGACTGTACTGTTGAACTTGAACTTGGCGATTATGTATTTAAAAGCTCATTCCGGTTTGAAAATATTACCGAGTTCGTGATGGTTTCCACACTGGATTTGAAAAACGGATACTGGAAAGTAGAGATCGATAAAAACGATTGGGAAAAAATCATTTTGATTGGATTGTGTTTGTGGCAATTAACCGTAATTCCATTCCAATTTCAAACGGTTAATTATTAATTAATTAATTAATTATTAACTATTAACCGGTTAATTAACCGTTAATAGAATGTGTATTACGGGATCTTTCCTGAAAGTTATATTTTGTTTGTTTTGTTTAGGAAAAACTTTTAATCAACGCGTGGAAATCTTACGAGAGATATTCAAAAGGCATCGAGCTCAAACCTATTGTTATAGTACTCGCTGTCGTAACCGATTTGCGATGCGACGGGTTCAAATCTTTGATTGAATAAAATACTCCAAACAGTTATTAGTTATTAAACTTTATTTACAGAAGAAAACTAATCGTTTATTTCCAGCAAATTCAAACTAAAGCAACAATTAACTTTTAAATTGTTCAAAATCTATCGCTATGACAACGTCAACACACAAATCAAATATCGCTTTAAATAATTCACCGAATGTTCTAGTGACTAAATCACAAAACTATTCACAAAATCACAAAACCACGAATTTCACTAATCACGAATATCACTAATCGCTAATCTTCTTGCGACGTGCGCTTATATACTCTTCGCAAGCGTCGTTTCTAGATTCTTCTAGATGGTCCGATTCTAGCATACTCTAGAATGCTCCAGT